GAGAGGGATTAATATGAGTGGGGGACAGAAACAACGGATACAGATTGCACGGGCAGTTTACCAAGAAGCTGACATATACTTACTAGATGATCCTTTCAGTGCAGTGGATGCTCATACAGGCACACAACTCTTTGAGGTAATTGTTGTTTACTATCTATGTTGTAGACCCATATAAAATACACTTGAAACTTCTAAAATAATTTTTTACTATTTATAGGACTGTTTACTGGGAATCCTGAAAGACAAGACAATCTTTTATGTTACCCATCAAGTAGAGTTTCTGCCAGCAGCAGATCTCATTCTGGTAAGTAAGATGCTTGACAATGAATCTTTCAATTTCTTCGGTCACTTTAAAAGCTCATGGCCACATAAAACCACAGAGTAAAGGACTTCTAACAAGAAGATATACTCTTTCTACCCACCAAGATAGTTTAGCAGTGGGAAAATAAAATAATTAGAGGAAAATAATAAGTATATAGTCCTTAAAAGATTTCCATAAAGCCTACAGGCAAGGAATTTGTAAATCATATCTTTAGGTGGTGGCGCATGCCTATTGAAGTTTCCAGGATCTACATGGTCTGAAACAAATTATGATTGACACAAATTTCAATAGGTGTTGCATAATGGAAGAATTTCACAAGCTGGTAGATTTGAAGAACTTCTAAAGCAAAACATAGGCTTTGAAGTTTTAGTAGGCGCTCACAGCCAAGCTCTAGACTCAATCCTGAAAGTTGAAAATTCAAGCAGATCATCTCAAGATCCATTATCCGAAGTTGAATCCTACACAGACTCTGCATCAAATGCAGAACTTTTATGTACACAGCACGAATCAGACCATAATATCTCTGTAGAGATAAATGAGAAGGAAAGAAAGCTGGTACAAGATGAAGAAAGAGAAAAAGGCAGCATCGGAAAAGAAGTTTACTGATCTTATTTAACTGCAGTAAAAGGTGGAGCCCTAGTTCCAGGCATACTCCTCGCACAGTCATCCTTCCAAGTACTACAGGTAGCTAGTAATTACTGGATGGCCTGGGTTTCTCCTACCACAGGCAAGGGTGAAACAACATTAGAGATGCATTTTATATTACTTGTTTACTCACTTCTTGCTACTGGAAGTTCATTATGCGTTTTAGTGCGAGCTAGTTTAGTAGCAATAGCAGGGCTTTCAACAGCACAAAAGATCTTTACAAACATGCTGCATAGCGTAATCCATGCTCCAATGGCATTTTTTGATTCAACCCCAACTGGAAGAATCTTAAACCGGGTGAGTAGATTTAACTTAACTGATTTTATAATCCAATTTTGACTTGAAAAAAAATTGGTTGCTTCTTGTTTACTTAGAAATAATGGTTCACTTTATCCAATGTGTATGCATTGAGAAATTGTGTGAAAAGTAAAACATTGAAGTAGGAAGACAAGAGAAAAACGATAGGCCCCATAGAAAAATCTGCTTTGCAAAGTAGTAAATAAGATAAAATGGCAATTGTTTCGCTGTATAAGAAAAAGATAGAACTGAAGAATTTCTAAGAGCCAGCTAATAACCTAATTGTAGACCAAGTATTCATTATAAAGCATATTCCTCTGTCAAAGAAAATATGGAGTGATATGATCCCGAGTCAAGGATCTGTCACGGGTATGTTGACACTGAAATCTTGAATCAAGCTGGTTGGATTCTTGATAGATTGCCTATGATGAACTATGCTAATAGCTCAGTAAACTAAACCTCTGATCTCTAGACTTAGTTACTCTTATCTGTGAAATTGTTCAAATTTTATTATTGACAAAGAGAGAATATATGTGTTTTATATATATAAGGCATTGCTACTGCCTTTCTGAACTCTAGGATCTGATTTGCATGTTCTTTCATGGACTTATTAGTAAACTTATTTAGATAACCTAAAATTCTCTCATTTATGCTTATTTAGATGAAAAATAAAGAGTGGATAACTTAAGAATTTTGAAAAAATCTGAACATAAAGTAATATAGGATGAAATTGATTGGGCTATACCTGGCACATGCTGTCCTGCTTGTATACCCAGCCAGTAAACAGAAAATGATCACTTCCAGTAACATGACGAAAATAAGGATTCAGAGAAAAAATACAAAAATTTATGTTGAAAATATGCATGAAACAGAAGTTCCATGAAGAAAACCAATTTAGAGTTCTTAATATCAATAGCATCTTCATAAGCAAGGCCATATAAACTCTAACGACAATCATCTTCTGAGTATGAAGCATGCAACACATTGAATTGTAGGAAC